GACAGCCTCCAACGCCTGGGCTCATTATCCTCCCACTTCAGCCTCCAAGTAGCTGGGACTACAGGTGCATGTCACCACGCCCTGCTAATTATTTTGCTTTTTGTAGAGATGGGGTCTCTCTTGGCTCATCTTGAACTCTGGGCCTCAAGTGATCCTCCCACCTCTGCCTCCCAGAGTGACAGGAGGACAGACACTGTACCTGGCCCAATGCTTCGTTCTTACCGTGGAATACTACGCAATTATAAAAGGTCATATTATGGAAGAGGGTTTAATGTTTGTTATACTATAATATTAAGGAAAATGCTTTTGTAAAAAAAAGATATATGATAGATAGATGGATAGAGTCATGACAAGAGACTACAAAACTACACATCAAAATAGCCACAGTCTCTGTGGCACAGACCCACAAAATACCCACAATCCCTGGGGAGTGGGATTGTGGATATTTTTTTTCTTCTTTGGGCTGATCTGTATTTTTCCTTTCTCCCTACTTTAAAGAATATGAAAGTATTTTCCCCTGAGTCTTCAACTGGGAAACCAACACGTGATTGAAAAACACAGCAATGGGCTGAACATCTGCTCAACTCCGAGGCACCTGGAGGGCTCCTCACAGCTCCCAGAACCTTCCAACCTGGTTTCCCATCCCAGCTGCCCTCAGCATCTGCCCCAGCCCCATTCCCCACACTGGCAGGACCCAGCCCCCAGGCTGTGTCTCTGTCCCACGTCCCCTGTCCCGTCCCTCCCCATCCTGTGTTCCATCCCTCCTCCTTTCCCACCTCCCCCAGCCCACCTGGTCCCTCAGTCCCACAGATGGCTGTCTCCCTATTGGGCATGGGGGGCCGTCAGACCACCTCAGCGGAGGCTTCTGCCTGCTCTCAGTGCTCGCGTCCCCTCGACACGTAGATCTGTCTTTGAGCCAAATGATGACCTCTGTCCAACTTTTGTCTTTGCCTCCATATGTTTCTAATTTATACCCACCACTACTGCCCAAGAAAAGTGAGCTGAGTTCTAGTGTTAAAATGAGAAGGAAGGAGAGATTAAGAGCTCAGCCAAGTTGGCAGAGGAGGACAGCCACCAGTGCAGGATGCGGCTGGACATTCTTATGGCCCCAGGACATTAAACTGAGCCCTGAGCTTCCTGGGGGCCAAGAAGAGTTTTCACATTAGCTCTCCACTGCCTGATGCTGGGCAGCGAGTGGGGTCTGTCCCCAGTCCAGGCCTTGTAAGCAAAGGTGCCCATGGCTGGGGGGGCTGGTCTCCAAGAAGTCCCATCAGCTGCCAAATCAGCCTGGGGGTGGGACCTGGTGCCAGGAACACTTACAAGAACAGAGACACTTTCACCTCCCGTTGACTCTCCAAAGATGGTCACAGAGCCTGGGTTCCCTCCAAAGTTGGCGATGTTGTCCTGCACCCAGCGCAGCGCGGCCACCTGGTCCAAGTGACCCCAGTTCCCCCGGCTGTGTTCGTCCCCTGTACTGTAAGAGAACAGGTTGGGGAGGGCAGCACAGACGCCATGGCAGGGCTGTCAGGACTAGAGACGGGGCTGGGGGCTCTCGGTGAGCCTTCCGGAATAGGCTGGGCTTCCACGCCCCTGACGCAGGGGTCTTCCCCTGCCTTCCGTTCCCCAGCATGTGCTGCTGTAGGGCTCTACATTCACTCGTCCGGACAGGATTTACTGAGCATCTGCTCCATGTGGAGTCTCAAGGAAGGTGACAGCTCAGTGATTCGCCCAGGATGACCCACTGGTAGGCACAGCAGTGCCCAACGCTGTCCTAGGAACTAGAGCACAACTGAGAACAAAACAGGGAAATCTCTGACTACAGTAAGCTCTCAGTACAGTCTACAAACAAATAAACAGATAAATATAGAATAAAATATCAGGGAGTGAAAGTGCGTTGAGGAAAAATAAAATGGGGTGAGGGAAAAGGCAGGGGTGGGGTGGTGGGTGCTACTTCAGATCACGTGACCAGGGAAGGCCTCTCGGACGCTGCGGCATTTGAGTAGAAGCCTGAATGAAATGAGCACGTGAGCCTTGCCAATATCCAAAGAAGGCAATTCCAGGCAGAAGAAACAGCAAGTGCAAAGGCCCTGGGGCCCAGTGAGTGCTGTGTGCACGTAGGAGGTGCAGCTGGAAAGAGCCCTGTGGACCTGGGGAAGCACGTTGTGTGTCATCCCAGGTCACGTGGGAAGCCCCTGCAGGTTTGTGCAGAGGAATCACAGGACTCAATCTATGCCTGATCTGATCTCTCTGGCTGCTGTGTGCATCAGCCGCAGCACAAAAGTCGCAGAGTGACCAAGTGAGTGGCTGTGACAATAATCCAGGCCAGAGCCAGACAGGCTGATTAGGGTGAAGCAAGGGAGGGCAAGAAACAGCGGGACTCTGAGTACATGTCATGGTGGAGCAGGAGGATCCGCTGCCGCCTGCGTGCGGGCTGTGGGGCAGAGAGAAGAGTCCAGGCTGCCCTCGCGGCTTTACCCCGGGCAACTGGGAGGACGGAGCCTCTGGCAGCTGAGCGGGGGGCGCTGGGAGAAGCAGGGGCGCCTCTGCCTGGGGAGGGCGTGGGAGTCCTGGCTCGGTGATTCCGTGTGAGAGTGAGGGGCCTCAGACAGCCCGTGGGGACAGAGGAGGTAGCTAGCGAGGGTGTCTGGGATTCAAGGAGAGGTGGCCAAACCACGGGGCTCTGACAGTTCCCTGGGGATCACTGGGAACTAGTGCAGAGGGAGAGGGAGACACGCAGAGTTCCAAGGACAGGGACAAGGAGGGGCCCACAAAGGGGCTGAGAAGGAGCAGTCTGTGGGCTGGGAGGCGGCACCAAGGGAAGGAAGCATGTCACAGAGGCGTGAGTGGCCCTGTGTGGCTGCTGCTGAGAGGTCAGGGAAGGCTGGGCCGAGGGCAGGTAGAGGTCATGGGGACCTTGACAGGAACAGCCTGGCGGCGTGGTCAGGGGAAAACCTGGCTGGCGTGAGTGGAGGACAGACAGGGAGGAGGGGACTGCAGACAGGACACGTAGCAGCTTTCCTGTAACGGGCAGCAGAGGCGTGGCCGTAGGCGAGAGGGATGTGGAGTCTCAAGGAAGGCGCAACCTCGGGGACTGGCCCGGGACGCCCACTGGCAGGCCCAGCAGAGCCCGTCCGCCTGCTCCCTGGGTCTTCCCAGCAGTGAGCGGATCCGCCCCCACCCGCCCGTCACACCTGGGGCAGGTGTTCTGGGTCAGGTGCACTCCGAGGAGGCTTAGGGTCACTGTGCCGGGAAGGAAACCTGCTTCTCGTCCCCACAAAGAAGCCTCTAGCCTTGACTGCTGCATGTGCCAGATTTCTAAGAAGACATGGGGGGAGTGCACCCCGACACTCCTCCAGGGAGCGGGGCTCACTGGGCTCACTGGGCTCAGGTGCTCTGACAACCTCCCATCTCCAGACACCCATTCCTTCCCCCACAAGCATTTGCTGAGCGTCCTCTTTGACTCTGCGCCTTCCTTCCTTTTGCAGAAGGAAAATGTGTGAAACTTTACTGCTGTGAAAGGCTTGAAGGCAGAATGTGGAACGTGCTGGGGCAGCACAGGTGAAAAGGAGATGAGTACTTCAAAGGAGGCAACACGTGGGCTGGGCCTTGCAGGGTGAATAGGAGTTTGCCAGGTAGAGTGGGCATTCCTGGCAGAGGTCACAGCATATGCAAAAGCTCAGAAGCAAGCAGATTTGTGTGGCTGAGGAATGAGAAGGTAGGTGGGGCCTGATTATGAAGGGACATGAATGCCTTTTTTAAGGACCTTAGCAAACGTCTCCTGAGGGCTGACATGACCAGCGCTGGGTCCTGGTACCCTCACTTTGGGACCAGAGTGCAGGGAGGAGAGCCCAGAAACTTACCTGAAGAATCCCCAGATGCCCACACGGTACTGAATGGTCACCACCACCACGTTTTCATGGGCAGAGAGGGCCACGCCATCATAGGTTGAGGCCCCGCCCACCACCATACCACCTCCGAAGATCCACACCATCACCTGGACAGGGACGGACACCCGCGCTGGTTAGAGGAAGCAGAGCTGGGAAGGACTGAGAGGATGGCTGGTTCGTCGCCTACCACTTGGCCGTGACTCAAGCAGGCCATTACCCAAAGTCCACCAGTGCCCAGCAAGGTTGCAAAACATAACCTCTGTCCTCCCAGACCCTCCCAGGTAGAGCCCAGGCTACCACCCCACTCAATGCACCCTGGCTGCTGCTGCCTTTCTCCCCAGCCCCAGTGCCACCTCCTTACTCCACAGGCTCTTAACACTGAGAACATCACCATGGGAACAATAGCAAAGGCTAAGGATGCCCTGTCGGGGTGACACTCCCATCACCCTCACGCTGGACCTTGCATCCAGCTCTGTGTAGACACGTACCCGCGCTTGCACGGCAGCTGCGTCTCAGTTAGCTCTTTCGAGGTGAACTGAACTTCTCTGAGCATCAGCGTTTATCTCAAGAAGCACACATGCCCTGACGGTAGCTCTTCCTAATATGCCTCCTTCCTGCCTCCCCAAATCCTACACACCCTGCAAAGCCCAGCCTGGGACCCACCTCCTCCAGGAAGTCTTCAGACACTTGACCAATATTATCTGGGAACCTACTATGTGCCGGGGACTGGGATAGGAACTGAGGGTGAGAGTGGACACAATGATTCACAATTCTTGGTTCTCACATTTAAAGAGCTCACATAACAGGGAAGCAGTGTGAGGGGCTAAAATAACTATTTTGTATTAATAATAACACTGTT